GTTTTGTTTTGAAAAGAGGGAGAGAGTCGGTATTTGGGATGTCAGATGGCAAAGAGTGGGTTAGGGGTTTAGGGTTAGGTTTAGGGTTGGGTTAGGGTTAGCAGGGTTTAGGGGATTAGGGTTTCCCCCCATGGTTCTGAGGTTAGGGTTAGGGTTTAATTAGGGGTTACAGTTAAGGGGTTTTGGTTTAGGGTTGGGTTAGGGGTTATGGTTAGGGTTTAGTTATGGTTGGGTAAGGGTTAGGGTTAGGGTTGGGTTAAGTTAAGGGTTGTGGTTATGGTTGGGTAAGGGTTAGGGTTGGGTTAAGTTAGGGGTTATGGTTATGGTTTAGTTATGGTTGGGTAAGGGTTGGGTTAAGTTAGGGGTTATGGTTAGGGTTTAGTTATGGTTGGGTAAGGGTTAGGGTTAGGGTTGGGTTAAGTTAAGGGTTGTGGTTATGGTTTAGTTATGGTTGGGTAAGGGTTGGGTTAAGTTAGGGGTTATGGTTAGGGTTTAGTTATGGTTGGGTTAAGTTATTGTTCGGTTAGGGTTGGGTTGGGTTAGGTTTGGCGTTATTATTAGAGTTCAGTTAGGTTTGGGTTAAGGGTTAGGGTTAATGGGTTAGAGTTTTGGACCAGTAGCAGCTCAGGGAGGAGAAGAAGAGGAGGGAGGAGCAGGAACGAGTCGGGACGCTGCTTTGAATCTGCTTTGAATTTCCCGGAGTCTGTGGCCGACTGGAGCTCTTCCCTGATTGGTTTATCGACTGTGAGGATCTGGTTTAAAGAACAGTGGATCCAGTCAGTAACCAGTAAAAACGGGCCTAAAATCCTGGTTCTGCTCCTTTTAAAGCCCTCAGACCTGCAGGGGGTGGGGGGGTTGGTTCCTGGTTAGGGTGGATTTCATTCATAAAAACGGAGGAAAACATGGCGACTTATCGTAAACGTGGCGACTTTTCAGTAAACATGGCGACTTATCGTAAATATGGCGACTTATCGTAAACATGGCGACTTATCGGTAAACATGGCAACTTATCGTATACATGGCAACTTGTCGTAAACATGAACATGGCGACTTATTGTAAATATGAACAAGAAAACTTATCGTAAACATGGTGACTTTTCGCTAAACATGGCGACTTAAACATGGCGACTTAAACATGGCGACTTGTAAACATGGCGACTTATTGTAAATATGAACAAGAAAACTTATTGTAAACATGGCGACTTATCGGTAAACATGGCGACTTATCGGTAAACATGGCAACTTATCGTATACATGGCAACTTATCGTAAACATGAACATGGCAACTTATTGTAAACATGGCGACTTGTAAACATGACGACTTGTCGTAACCATGGAGACTTGTCGTAAACATGGCGACTTGTCGTAAACATGGTGACTTATTGTAAACATGAACATGGCAACTTATTGTAAACATGGTAACTTATTGTAAACATGAACATGGCAACTTATTGTAAACATGGCAACTTATTGTAAACATGGCGACTTTTCAGTAAACTTGAACATGGCGACTTATCGATAAATATGCCGACTTATCGGTAAACATAAATTTCCCCTTCGGGATCAATAAAATATCTATTTATCTATCTATCTATGGCAGCTTTTAGGTATATGTGGCGACTTAAACAGCGGCGCCCACTTAACCCTTTAAAGTCTGATCCAAGAAAAAAACGGAACAGAAAGTTTTTTTTTTTTGGGTTCGAATTCCTTATTTGGCCTTTTAACAAAATATGTAAAAAGAAAAAACAGAAATACATTTTTGATATTAATAATTTATTACTATGCGATAAGTCTAGATTATTTTTGTGTATCTTCTGCCCCCTGTTATCAGGTGTATCTGATTGTGTACAATAGGATTTTGAG